TGTGTGTGTGTGTGTGTGTGTGTGTATATATACATCTGTGCGTGTGTGTGTGTGTGTATGCGTGTAGATATATATATATATATGTGTGTGTGTAGATATCTGTGTAGATATGTGAAATCATTATTTGCACACATAGACACACTACGTATATCTTGCCATCATATGCATTCATACACTACATACGAATATATACACATAATACCTACACAACACCCCACACCTCTGCTGGCCGTTATGCAAAGTACTGCCTATATTTGGACCGTAGAACCCCAATCGGCGCCTCTCTTCTTCAAAGCGTAGAGGCGATTGAACGCCATGGCTAATTCGTGAACTGCTGGTGGTATGGCCTCGCCGCCGTGTGTGAACAGAGTGGATTCGCCCCCCTGGATAGATGAGTGTGTGTGTGTGACAATACATTGAATCAAATATGTAGTTGTATGTATAGATTAGAAGTAGTTGTGTATATAACTAGATACGTGTGATGAAACATACGGGTGTGTGACGTGTGGCTATAGGGGGTATCTCTATATGTTGTGGTGGCTACAATAGGCTATAACTTTGGAGCGATCGGTTTGGGGTGAGTCCTAGATCATAAATACGAGCAGAACAGTATATATGCCCTGGATAGCAAGTGCGTCCTACATATTCCCACACACTCACCTGTGTGTGTGTGTGTGTGTGTGTGTGTGCTATAAACTCATATGTGTAGAGGTAATTGGTAATGTGAGTGTATGCGTATGTTAATTGATACATATGTAGCAGTGCTTGCAGTGGGGGTAGTTGTTGTACAGGTGTGTGTGTGCTATACACCCATATGTGTAGAGGTGATTGGTAATGTGAGTGTATGCGCAAGCTAATTGATACATATGTAGCAGTGCTTGTAGTGGAAGGTATTTGTTGTACAGGCTGTCCTATAGTTCTCTACACCTTCGCTGGCGAATGTGGGATGACCTCTGAACGCCAGACACAGCTGTGCGTCTATCCGAATCACTTTACTAAAGCGATGGCATATACACACATACATATACTAGACATGCAAAGCGATGGCATATACACACATACATATACTAGACATACACTAGAAGCACCTTGAACCGTACACTAAATCGCTAAAATGAACATCCTGTACAAACACGTGCATATGTATATACCTATCCTGAGCCAGACCACCAAATAGATTGCGACAAGTACACTCCGGTTTCTGTAATTCTTTGAATACGTACATGTATCGTTCTAAATATAGATTACTGTCTAACTACTTGTATCCGCACCTTCTTTACTTGGTGACTGTACAGTCGATGCTGCTCCACTGTCCGAACTCTCTGACTGCGCTTCAGTCAGTGCACTACTTGTCCTCATAGCCCCCATCGCATTTGTCGATCCTACATTTACCAGAGAAATAGCTCTTATGTTAGTAATATAGCGAATATA